TGCGACTCATAAATAATATTCCAATCCGGATTATACAGTTACACGAGAACCACTGAGATAAGAAGCCGAGAAGGCTTGATTGAGAATGTAATATCATATGAATGATGTCCCAGAGGTAATACTCCGAGCGTTTAATTGTCTCTAAACTGACTTATTTCAATGATGCTCGAATTGATTCCCTCTCCCGGCCTCATTAAATTACTACTAGTCTCTTTAATGTATTAGACTAAGCCTGCAATTGCACCAATTTTATTCAGCCTGTGTTTTGGGATTTCGATTCCACCCCAGCAACTTATACAATACTAATAGCTAGTAGTAGTACAAGCTAAACATAAAGACAAGGTGCTGTTCTCTTGTGTATAGTGCCGTTCTCCATACGGTTCGGCTTTGTATTAGATATTCCTTAAGGCACGCTGATTGAGAATAGACGACTTCAAGTCTCCGTCGTACCCCGTTTTATCGATTCGCATCTACCTGGATAAAATAGCTTATAATGTTAGTTATACTTATAGTTATACGTACATAGCTTCAGAATGTACAGGGTGTTCACGATACATCGAAACGGATTAATTCATGAAGGAGTAACCAGCTACCTAACAGTAACGAGACATATTTATGTTCAACATAATTCCGGTGACCTAAATGATTTGGGAACGAAAATATGGCAATTTTTACCGAATACCGATTTTTTTCATTTCCTTTTTTGTTATTTTACAAAAATTAAACCCAATATTTGAGAAAATTAAATACAAAAATCTTCTCTGATCAGCTGTCAATGTCATGTTCCATCTTGTATTAAACAATTTCTCGTTCGGGCCTTTGAAAGTTAATAGCCTCAACTAAACTTACAATCCTCCAGAGGCTATTATAGGAGACCGCGACAGTGTTCGTTATCTTATGATCACGAAATTTCACCGCCGTGGCTGCAATTTAAATGTAATAAAGTAGTGACAGAGCTTGCTTATTTTTAATGGAACGTGTCCAAAATCATTTGTCTAGCAAAAAAAACGGGGAGATGTCCCTAATTTAATAAATACAATATTCCTCCTCTATAACGCGGTTATAAAAATGGACATGACGGTGAAGGGGACAGGGGTGGTGGTAGTGGTACTGCTACTTTCCTTACTAGGTGAAGCTCAGCCTGTCATTCCACCGCATCTTCAATCGGTTTATGAACATAAAAAGCCTGAGGTCCTCAGTTATTGTTAATAGTAATACTTTCCTAAAACTAAAAGCGTGGACAGTGGATACTCTCGTTCTCTGATTATTTTCATCGGTGGTTCAAAAGACAGTAAACTAAAATATATGTTTTAGACTAACTGCAAATAGTAAAGAAGAGTAAGAGTGGAGATAAGAGTCTCGGTATCACGTGACTGCAGTAGCGGTAAGATAAGGTCCAGCTTCTCAGAGATGTGGTCTCTGTGTTGTGTGTTAACTGCGAGGTTAACCAGTCCCATCACACCCATCCTGGAATATTCTTCGCTACAGTTTATAGTTTACAGTTTAAAATCCCCTTCAATAAAAAATCTATCCGTTTTATTTTTGTCGTTTCTTTTATTTATGTTCTAGCGTTAAGCTAATAAAAATTAACATTAATCACACGTAATTAAGACAGTGTAATTATTAAACGTGCCACACAAAACCAGATGAATTATTTACCTACGTAAAATAAGGTCTTCATCATCCGTCAGGTCCAAGAAAGGGTCTACAACATTTAGTTTCTGCAGGTGTTCATGGTTTACTGGGTTGTAGGCGAAGTTAGCTAGATTCGCAACGATTTCCTGCTTAGCATGTGCAACCTCACTGTCACAATACTCTGTCAAAAGGGCCTGAGATGATAGGGGTCACATTCTTCATTTTTAATTCTGAATTCGCTCATTTGCTACTGCTAACTACCCATGGCGCCCCAGTTACTCACTGCGTACTGCACTTTATAGATTTGGATTCTAGAGTACGTTATATTTTATCCCGGTAGTTGTACCACAATCCGCATTGGATATAGCACAATGTACAAGAAATGTAAGAATGTTACTGTAACATTCTTAGAATGTACTCCATCAAACTTGGTTATTAGAATTATAGCCCGAGATTATTTGTATAGCAAAAAAACGGGGAGATTTCCCTAATTTGATAAATACAATATCCCTCCTCTATAACGGGGTTATAAAAATGGACATGACGGTGAAGGGGACAGGGGTGGTGGTGGTGGTACTGCTACTTTCCTTACTAGGTGAAGCTCAGCCTGTCATTCCACCGCATCTTCAATCGGTTTATGAACAGAAAAAGCCGGAGGTTCTTAGTTAAGGCCACAGGGGGGGTCCGAGGCCGAAAAAACGTTTTTTGCCAGTTGGCAGACCACGTACCATCTGGCGCTTGCACACCACACTGAGCCCCACAGAGCGCCTAGTTTGTCGTAAAATTTAGGTTAACTATTGCCTTTTTAATCAGTTAACCTCACAAATAACCAGTTCTTAACATTTTGTTGCTCTCATCACAAGTTAAACTTATCAATGGGTATCAATTGGATATCCAATGTGAACAGAACTATTATATGTCCTTTATTTGTTGGAAAATTGAGGTTAACATATTTTCTCAGAATCAGTCTTTTGACTCTCCTGAACAATTTATTTACCACCTCAAAAACCTTCAAAAAAAAATCTCCTCCTAGAGCTTTTATCCTTTTCACCTCAAATTTGGAACTTATGTTCCTGACAAAAATTTGATAATTTGTTATGTAACGATTGTTGTAATTTTGCTCCTAACTCTTTTTATGAGGTTAACCATTTTAAATTTTGTAACCCGCACTCATGGTTAACCTCATATCTCAGCTTTGGAGCAAGATATCATAAATCGTTACATAACAAAAACTCAAAATACCTTGAAGAACATTGTTGCCAAGTTACAAGGTTCTAAGTCATAAACTGAAAAAGAAGATAGATTTTGAACACAATTTCATTTAAAGTTTTCATTTACAATAGAATTACAGGTAAACCTCAAAATTAGGCTATCCACTCCGATAATCGTTACCGATAATTATCTCCGATAATTCGTTAAAAAAGGATATCTGTTTATCTAGATAAAACATATTTTTATCGGTATAAAAATTCACTAGAAATTACCGAAAAAACTGCCACAATACCGTAAAATTTTAAAGAAATATTAGTGTTTTTTGCCTTCCCAAGTAATCCAAGAAACAGTCCCAAACGTTTTATAGTATGATAGAAGAGGTAGTTTACTTAAATGTGAGCTTAAGAGGTTTATTTACATTTGTATACCTATGGAACTGTAGAACTGTAGAACTGTAAAAGTCTAGAGAAAGTTATTAACATTGTTATCTTGAAGTTGAGGCTAGGGTGCTGGCGTTCTACCTTACTTGAACCATTCTGGAGACAGGAACGAGCATGTTACTGTTAACAAGAGTCAAAAATACCGGCAGGCGGCAGGGCACTCAATTAAATTCCGTAAGTGTTCTAGGCGTGAAACATTGTCTTCAGGAGAAGGAATCTGTTGCTCCAAGTTATCCACAGGATAAGGAAACGGTTCACTGAATCACTTTAAATGTTTTACTGTTTCGAGGAGAATTGGTATTTGTTGCACTACTGTTCTCAAGAGAAGGATACCGGTGGTCTACTGTTTTGAAGAGAACTGGTGCACTACTGTTCTCAGGAGAAGGAAACCGGTGGTCTAATGTTTTGAAGAGAACTGGTGCACTACTGTTCTCAGGAGAAGGAAACCGGTGGTCTACTGTTTTGAAGAGAACTGGTGCACTACTGTTCTCAGGAGAAGGAAACCGGTGGTCTAATGTTTTGAAGAGAACTGGTGCACTACTGTTCTCAGGAGAAGGAAACCGGTGATCTACTGTTTTGAAGAGAACTAGTGCGTTACTGTTCTCAGGAGAAGGAAACCGGTGGTCTACTGTTTTGAAGAGAACTAGTGCGTTACTGTTCTCAGGAGAAGGAAACCCTTGGTCTACTGTTTTGAAAAGAACTGGTGCACTACTGTTCTCAGGAGAAGGAAACCGGTGGTCTACTGTTTTGAAGAGAACTAGTGCGTTACTGTTCTCAGGAGAAGGAAACCGGTGGTCTAATGTTTTGAAGAGAACTAGTGCATTACTGTTCTCAGGAGAAGGATACCAGTGGTCTACTGTTTTGAAGAGAACTGTTGCACTACTGTTTTCAGGAGAAGGAAACCGGTGGTCTACTGTTTTGAAGAGAACTAGTGCGTTACTGTTCTCAGGAGAAGGAAACCGGTGGTCTACTGTTTTGAAGAGAACTAGTGCGTTACTGTTCTCAGGAGAAGGAAACCCTTGGTCTACTGTTTTGAAGAGAACTGGTACACTACTGTTTTTAGGAGAAGGAAACCGGTGATCTACTGTTTTGAAGAGAACTGGTACACTACTGTTCTTAGGAGAAGACAAACCGTTGGTCTACTGTTTTGAAGAGAACTGGTACACTATTGTTCCCCGGAGAAGAAAACTGATGCTCTAATATTTTCAAAAGAAAGGAAATTGTACTTTAGCAAGATTACTGGTAAACAGTAATAAAAGTCGACAATCAGTTTTTGTGAAATTTGGAAAACATTTTGGCTTTGGCCTTCAGCAGAAAAATTATCGGTTTTATCGGTTTTATCTAGATAAAACCTAAATTTTTATCTGTTTATCTAGATAAAAGATTTCATACCGATAATGGATAGCCTACTCAAAATTCAACGCGCGATATCTTCAAATAGGAAACTTTGTTTTCGGTAAGGACAAAAGCATTTGAAAATTTAGATCGAGCTCTACAACATATCTCAAAATCTCAAAATTGACCTCGGACCCCCCCCCCCCCCCTGTGGCCTTAATAGTAATACTTTCCTAAAACTAAAAGTAAAACTAAAAGCGTGGACAGTGGATACTAGGGCGGATTTCAATTTCATGAAACTCACGGACATGGACACGAGGGATCTTTTAAACTTCCTCGTGAGGAACTGAGTACTGTAGACAAATTAAACCCATTTATGACAAAAATCAAAACATTTTCGCTAAAAACAATCTGATTTGGAATTGAATTTTGGGACACCCGCAAAAGTTACAAATTGTGTTGGGTATTTAAACCTAATCCTCATTGATCACAAAACAGATTCTATGTGAGGTTACTTCTGCTTGTGTCTTTAAAACAAGATTAAAAATTTTCATTTTTCGATGCGACAATTAACTCGTAATTAATGTCGCAAAGAGTCAATTGTCACTTAATCTCAAACTTCAAGAAGAAATTTCTTTAGGACATTTAAGTTATTCAACGATATCACAGTATCTACATTTTAAGCGCCATCGCATTTCGCTTTATTGATAAAACTTAATAAAAGCACTATGATAATTGTAGCAATGTGAAAGTGACAGCATGCAGTTTCTTAAGGAAAACAAAAACAATTGATTATAACTTATTAAAAACAAAAACTAAAAACTTGTGCAATCATTTTCTCATCTTCAAAAAACCGTAAACTAAATTTAACGCTTAGCAGCTTGTCAGTTTGGAGAGTTTACAAACGTTGCGGCACAAAAGGAACAACACAATTAAAAATGAACCACACAAAATTAAGACATCGCTTTTGAATCTTTCCCACCTTCAACTTCAGAAAATGAACTTTAACCGCCTCAAAATCACATTTCGTGTGGAACAACGCAATTATAATAAACATTTGCCGTGTTTTAGGAATAAGAGTTTTACTGCTACAATATGATGCTATGTTGCTCGGTGAATCTGGAATTGGAGCTGCGCGGTTTTCCGTGTTGATTTAGAAAGGGTGCTTGGCAATGATATGCTGCTCCATTTGCTGCTGCATTGATCTCTCGTACGCAGCAGGACAAAACGGACACTTAACCAGACCGTGTCTGTCGAACCTGGAAATTTTCGTAGGTTTAAAATAACGTGGAATAATATATGGAAGATACTAAAAGCAAGCAGATTGGAAATTATAAAGAAACTTACTGAATGTGAGCGTTTGTGTAAATTATAAAGAAACTTACTGAATGTGAGCGTTTGTGTAAATTATAAAGAAACTTACTGAATGTGAGCGTTTGTGTAAATTATAAAGAAACTTACTGAATGTGAGCGTTTGTGTAAATTATAAAGAAACTTACTGAATGTGAGCGTTTGTGTAAATTATAAAGAAACTTACTGAATGTGAGCGTTTGTGTAAATTATAAAGAAACTTACTGAATGTGAGCGTTTGTGTAAATTATAAAGAAACTTACTGAATGTGAGCGTTTGTGTAAATTATAAAGAAACTTACTGAATGTGAGCGTTTGTGTAAATTATAAAGAAACTTACTGAATGTGAGCGTTTGTGTAAACTATAAAGAAACTTACTGAATGTGAGCGTTTGTGTAAATTATAAAGAAACTTACTGAATGTGAGCGTTTGTGTAAATTATAAAGAAACTTACTGAATGTGAGCGTTTGTGTAAATTATAAAGAAACTTACTGAATGTGAGCGTTTGTGTAAATTATAAAGAAACTTACTGAATGTGAGCGTTTGTGTAAATTATAAAGAAACTTACTGAATGTGAGCGTTTGTGTAAACTATAAAGAAACTTACTGAATGTGAGCGTTTGTGTAAATTATAAAGAAACTTACTGAATGTGAGCGTTTGTGTAAATTATAAAGAAACTTACTGAATGTGAGCGTTTGTGTAAATTATAAAGAAACTTACTGAATGTGAGCGTTTGTGTAAATTATAAAGAAACTTACTGAATGTGAGCGTTTGTGTAAATTATAAAGAAACTTACTGAATGTGAGCGTTTGTGTAAATTATAAAGAAACTTACTGAATGTGAGCGTTTGTGTAAATTATAAAGAAACTTACTGAATGTGAGCGTTTGTGTAAATTATAAAGAAACTTACTGAATGTGAGCGTTTGTGTAAATTATAAAGAAACTTACTGAATGTGAGCGTTTGTGTAAATTATAAAGAAACTTACTGAATGTGAGCGTTTGTGTAAATTATAAAGAAACTTACTGAATGTGAGCGTTTGTGTAAATTATAAAGAAACTTACTGAATGTGAGCGTTTGTGTAAATTATAAAGAAACTTACTGAATGTGAGCGTTTGTGTAAATTATAAAGAAACTTACTGAATGTGAGCGTTTGTGTAAATTATAAAGAAACTTACTGAATGTGAGCGTTTGTGTAAATTATAAAGAAACTTACTGAATGTGAGCGTTTGTGTAAATTATAAAGAAACTTACTGAATGTGAGCGTTTGTGTAAATTATAAAGAAACTTACTGAATGTGAGCGTTTGTGTAAATTATAAAGAAACTTACTGAATGTGAGCGTTTGTGTAAATTATAAAGAAACTTACTGAATGTGAGCGTTTTTGTAAATTATAAAGAAACTTACTGAATGTGAGCGTTTGTGTAAATTATAAAGAAACTTACTGAATGTGAGCGTTTGTGTAAATTATAAAGAAACTTACTGAATGTGAGCGTTTGTGTAAATTATAAAGAAACTTACTGAATGTGAGCGTTTGTGTAAATTATAAAGAAACTTACTGAATGTGAGCGTTTGTGTAAATTATAAAGAAACTTACTGAATGTGAGCGTTTGTGTAAATTATAAAGAAACTTACTGAATGTGAGCGTTTGTGTAAATTATAAAGAAACTTACTGAATGTGAGCGTTTGTGTAACCAGATAACTGGCTCTGAAGATGTGCTATAATCTGGTGGTAGCTCTCTGCTTCCTCCGCAAGCTTCTTGTCTAGCTGAGCTGAACAATCATGTTTTACAAAATACCATGTCACTGGGGTCAAAACAACAAGATACGATAACCTCAAGCCGGGATAGCAACAATGATTACCAAATGGTTGGACCACGTGACATAAACTAACCGATCCTGTGTTTGGTGTACCGTTCGTTCTCCCGCCTCTCCTGGCACTCTGCCCTCATTCCGTCAATGATCTCTCCTTTATCAGCTAACAACTCATTCTTTTGCTCCAGCTCCAAAGTTTTCTTCACTAGCTGTCCTCGAAGATCTTTTATTCCCTGCCATTTTTTATTATGTTTTCAGCGCGATAACTTGGCGATACAACTGGGAACCAATTTAATTGACATTTTGACACAATCAAAATTGAAAGCGGAACGTAAAAGAACGGAAAATGTCAATTTTTAATCTGTGTACCTCTCTGAAATTTATTTCAATTTCCTCAGCTCGTCTTCGCACTTCTTCCATTTGTTTGTCTCTAGTCTCCAACTCTGCTTTGAGACGATGTATATCTCCTGCAATCTCGGCGGAAACTACATTACCGACACTCTCGGTCATGGATATTTGTGCATCTATCAACTGAGACTGCGGATGGGAAATATTGGATTTGGCTCTCAGAAAAACAATTTTGGTCACATTTAAAGTTGTTCTTGTCTTGTTTCTCTCCTTTTGAATCATGCATGATGATTTGATTCGAAACTTTCAAGTACAGTATATTATATATATACAATACAGCAATAATGTAAAATAAAGAACTATTACAGGTTTAATACCCCAGATTCACTAATACCAAGTAAATCTAAAAACACACACCAACTACTCAATATCATTAGTGGTGATCCACTTAACATCTCTTTGCTAGATGCTTTCAAATCTTGTTAATTAACCCTTGTTGACCTTTAGACGACACTGCAATTTTCAAAAGGCTTATAATGAGTGCCATCTTTGGCAGTATCGAGATAGCCCGACCACTGTCCGCGGACCACTTTTTACAAAGCATTACATTTTAATTCATTAATGTTGGGTTTTAGGAAGTTAGCATGCAATGAAGGGAGATTCCCCCAATACCAATTGTTACCGGATAGAATGAGGGTATGATAATAGAATGAGGGTATAATAGAATAATTCATCCCAGCAGATACCTGTCTTACCTCGTACTGACTACTCAGATGTTCAAGATGAGCTATTCTAGCCCTCAAACTCAGCACAGTTCCCGTAGCAATCTCGCTGTCATTCAGACTGATTCTCACTGATTCTAATTCCTTGTTCTTCTCTTCTAATCGAACCACCTGTGATGCAAATGTAAAGATAACATAGTTGGTCGACTTCCGTTACTTGTAATTTATTTAGTCATTTCACAATGACAAATTCCATAAAGTTTACGTATGACGAGTTATAAACCTTTTCGTGAAGAGTTTTAGTCTCGTTTCTGACAATAGACAGCTCCGTGATATCAGATTCAAGCTGCCTTTGTTTCTTTTGACTGGAATACAACTGAAGATAGGTTTATTAAATTAAAGAAGGAGTGGTATTTGGTAATTTTCTTGAATATATGCAACTACGAGGAAAGTTAAAGAATGTGCGAGTTTTGTACTCTCTAACCTCAGCTTCACTTTCCTTGAGCTGTTTAATACAAGCGTTCAGCTCGTTTAACAGACGTTTCGCTTCATCTTTCTGTTTGTTTGCCTCGGACTGCAGAACTACAACATTTCCATCAGTCTCCCTCTTGTTGAGCACCAGCTTATTTATGACGTCATCCTTACTTTTAACGAGAACCTGAATATTATTTATTCATTTCCCATCCATCAAATTGATAGCAATTTCAACAATCGCAATGATACATTGAATCATTCAATAACCCATCAATTTTATCATTTGTACCTTAAGTTTATTAATTTCTTCTTCGCAGTTGTTCTTCAATGTTTCGATCTGTGATTTTTGTTTACTCATTTCATCCAATGCCGTCTCAAGGCCACATTTCTCAGTGTTTAGATTTTGGTACCTCGCCAAAAGCTGATCATCGGGATTCTGGCGGATAAAATATAGATTTGGATCATAGGTAGACATGCGAATCGCGATCACTCGAAAAAGAATGCAGTTAGCAGATAAATTTGTTGTGACACCCTAGAATACCTTTCTTCTTTGGATGATGTAAGGGATAAAATGGATTACCACATATTAGCGACGCTGCCGTTCTATACCCATTCTATGTCGCGTCACTGTTTTATCATCAGCTGCTTGGTGATCTAATGTCACATGAACAGATAGCTGTACATGCATGACATGACACACAGTGGAAAATATCTGGATTTTATTCTTGCATAAAAGCGATAATGCAATTATCGCGTGTTTATCGCCCAATATGCGATTATCGCGTGTTTATCGCCTAACATGCGATTATTGCGCACGATTATCGCCTAACATTGGCGATTATCGCTAAATGCACGATAATCGCCATTAAATAGTGATAATCGCTAAAATCTGCGATGATAATGCAATAGTGAAATGATGAGTTAATTTTGACATACTGTGAGTCATATACTGCATCAACATTCAACACTGCACTGAATCAAAATTATGGTTGAACAGCAATAAAAAATATTATATTTGATATATATATTAAACCTTGTGCCTGACGCCGCGCGCAGCGGATCCTGCATTTTCATTTTGAGTTTGACCCTGGCCTCACAATTACATTTTACAATCAAACTATAACCTTCAAAGGCGAAAGTAAACACAAGCATCAACATTTCATATTTCCAATTTCATTCCTCTTCCCCCTGTTTAACGGACGCAAACGCTATTTACGAATGACCCCTGGGCCCCTACGACAAACCCGAAACCATAAACATAAACTTCTATTCAATTTGTAATTCGAAAATTATCTCATAATTCCGTTATGGAAATAAATCTTATACATGAATAAGAATCTGAATCAATACATATTGTTCATTCTGTCTGCCGATGGCAATTATATCAATATTATATTCAAATAGTACACGGAGTTCATTACTGCATTTCAAGTTTGACACGCGCGGTGAGCCGCGCACTTTTGTTGGATTTGAACTATACGAAAATCAAATTATGAATCGAGCGCTACTAGGGCGCTCACTTAGCGCTTAGTTACCAGCCAACTTTACTTGTTATGATTTGTACCTCTTAGTGTGACCTGGATCAGAATATTTTCTTCGACTTCAGTTTTCAAAAGTGAGAGTGCTTGGATCGAATATAGATATATCTCTGTAAGAGTGTATAAGATGTTACAACTTACACACGTGCGGTAATCGGTATCATGTCACCAAGTTACTTGTCTATTGTCGTTACCAATGGCCACACTATTCACCTAATACCGTAATCTGCTTGACAGCTCGATCGAATTAAATGATTGCATTTGTTGTTATAAAGAACGAAATTAAGCACGTTCATATCGATTATCACATTAGTGAGAACATGAGTGGAAGCAGGACAGAAATGTTCGCAGGGTTAACTGTAACACGACAGTTAAGACCACTTGGTTCCGATGGCTTCCGCAGGAGATGTTGGTTGTAAGTTATTATACATCGAACTTGTTTGTTTCCTCTTACCTACATTTTTGCTGACTGTCATAGAAGCCAGAGTCCGCATGGCTGCTGAGAGGAAAAAAAAGGCCTCTCAAAAGAAGCTCACTGCGACTGAGATTTTCCGACAGCGTTGGGGAGGTTCAGTTTAACTATAAAACTTGTAAATACACTGAATTTATTATTAATTTTTGAAAAATTATGTGATGTTTGTTCCGTGATACTAACTTTTTTTTGTGACACTAATTCATTAACTCTATTTGTGATACTAATTTATTAACTAATTTTATGATACCAATTTTGTGACACTAATTTTGATAGACTGTGGGATACTGAAGGGAAAAGAAGCAGTTCTAACGAGCTCTTCTCAAACACAAGGATATATCTTGTGAACTTGGCTGGTATATATGAAACATTTGACACGGAGTTGTAGAGTGAGCTATGTGCCTCGCCAGGGCTAAAGTAGTAAATGACCTTGCTGTACGGCAAGTTAAACAAGGATCTGAAACTACTAGGTTCCGTACAGGCTCAACTCTACACCCGTGCCAATATGTTCATATGAAAGCCTCTTGATTTATACTAATAATTCTTTAATTCTTTTTGCTCGCTTTCTTTTCACCCTTCCCCCTCTCTCGATATTTCATCAATTATCACATCCCAACATTTGAAATGTTTTCAAGTAAAGTTTAGCCTCAAGAACTTAACCTTCACGGACATTATAGTAACAAAATGCTTTGCCCGTGTGTTCTCTGTCAACAAGAGAATGAATTGTCCGACCGTACGGTAAAGGAACATCTGCTCTCATTCGGTCACATGAAGAAAACACTGTTGGCTGATTTTATCAAACATACCGATCCGGGAGACAAACTTTTTCACCACGTGCTGAGGTAATTTACTAATAAGACACAGGCTGTCTGCATCTTTGACTATAAAACATCATCAGTCGTAACTTGAGTAGGATCAGAGTGGGTTGAGTGTAGCACTTTAAAAGGATATTTAAGAGCTGAACTTGTGAATATTAAACATCTGAAGGTGATCATCCGTGTAATCCTGCAGGTCGTTACTAGATAAGTGCTTTGAAGAGGGAGCAACCTTTGAGGTGAAGGGTTCACAGGGAAAACCCCTCCTCATCACCACTATCATTAAGCCGCACAAGGAAATAAAAACTCCTGCTGACAGTGTTAAAAGGAAGCACACTCATGTCTTCAAGGATATAGTAGAGAGCCAGGTATCCTGAATAACGTTATCGGTAATAAGTTAAACTGTATATCACTTCCGCAGTTTGCCATCATAGCCATACTGAAACTGAACGAATCCCTACAGGCAATTTAGTTCAATCAACATGAATATTTGCAGGCTGAGTCAAGCTGTTCAAAATCTAATGACTCTGATATCGAATCAGTGACCAAACGGATCCGAACTGCGGAGTTAACATCACTCTCTAAAGAGCAGCGGGAGTATGTACAGGCGTTGGCTGGCGTTGACTGTAAGAAACGAATTGATGCTCTTCATGTTGCTATGTTCAAAGCTGAATGTAAGTTGTTAAGAACGATACAAATTGTCATTATCATTACAACTTAGCGGGTGGAAAAGTTAATTCTTAGTGTGCAATAGATTTCATCGCAATAAATTAAATGCTGACTCAATTTTTAGCTAACACGGGGACAGCCAATGTACGAAACAACCTGCGGCCACTGCTAAAAAAATATGATATAAAAATGGAATCAGAGAAGGAAATCAAGTCAATGGAAGAATTATACACCGTGAGTGCTCAGTTGAACTCAAAACCAATTATATATCATTTTGGTGTCATGGCGTACTAGCATATAGCATAGCACAACCCAGATTTTGAAATATAGAATATATTGTACATCAAAAATTAACATCATTCATGTTTTAAGGTGAACTATATGAGTGCAATGGTTTCTCTTTCCCATAAAGCTGCAGCACATGATAAAAATGAAACTAAAAGTGGTGAGCTGTTAGCAAGACGTACCCCAGTAGCCTACTGTGATGGACAGGAACTGCTAACCAAAACACTTATAACCTTGAAGAATACCGGTATTTCAAATTTCTAGAGATTATAGAGCTGTTTACAAAAAATTAATTTGATTTAAATAGGTCAAGGTGGGCAGTTCTTTTAGCGGTTTTTATCACATAGTTCATTAACAGCCAGCTGAATTCTATATATTCCAGGCCAGTTAGATGTGGGAACTGACAAAACTATACATGTTAAGCTGTTTGTAGACGCAGACACGAGCTCCACTAAAGTGGCAGTCAATGTGCTAAACCAGCCTTCGTGTAACAGCTCGTATGCCCACCCAATGCTGGTGTACACCGAAGCTCCGGACCATCGCAGGAACATGGAGGTCATATTTAAGGTATTTCTTCATGAAATCTAGACTTCAACTTGAGCTTATTTGTATTAACAGCTTACACTTTAAAAACTGGACAGGCATGAGACAGATAACATTACAGGTGGTTAACCGGGACCTACCACAGCTCAAGAACTTTGTCTTCTGTGGAGCACATGTGAAGATGATTCTCTGTGCAGACACAAAGGCACTGTGGGCTATGCTGGGTATGGGCAGCAATGGGACGTTCCCCTGTCCACTGTGCGAGGTACATAAAGACCTGATGCAAGTACCCAGAAGCCAGAGAGCTCTCTGCAAGCCCCGAACTTTTGCGGGAATTATGCAGAACTTTGATGCTAATATGAGGTACTTATAAACTTATAATACCAGTCATTAACTCGCTGATTGCAGCTCCTTCATTTCACAAAGTACAAACATTTATCTCGATGTATATTGTATACCATGTATGTATTTCGATAGATGTATACCATTTCTGTAAACTGTTAGTATCGAGTTTTTCCACATCAGAATGACTCAGTGTAACCCGAGATCCCAAGCCCAGTTTATGAATGTTGCTTCACGACCCATCACAGACTGTTTCGGGGAGGATTCTGATTATCTCATAAACTGGGTCGCTGTTCCGTTCTTGCACATAGTAAGTGATCGAAGCTCACAGTTTTTTATTCGAACACCGCTCATGCTGTTCCTGATATGTGGCAAATAGAACTAGGTACTAGAATTATTTGACTGATTGTCATGACTCTTGATACTTCCTTTAGAACATCAAAGTCGGGACTTTTCTGTGGACAGAGTACGGTAAACTGTGCGAGGAGATAGACTTTGTACTCGCTTGCAATGTGGCAGACGGGTTTCTTCCCAACAGCTACAGCAGTACGACAGACTTTGGAGCCATGATTCTGCGCATCGAACAAGGTAATGTAGATTCATCGATGAATGTATCACTTCATTATTGAAAAATTGGAGGCTTTGCAAACTGATATATAATGAGTTGAAGAAAATAAGTGTGGCACTGTACATTTTAGGTAACCGTGTGGCCTCGAAGTGGCCACACGGTAAGAAACTCCGGCCCAACCGAACTCTTAAAATTGCAACATCATTTCAACACCACCTCCACCAGATACATCTCCTTGAAGACCACTTTTTGGAGCAGATACAGCTCTGGGGGATGTTTTCTGGATCTTTAAATGAGCAAGGTGGTGAGAGTACTCACTCCCTTTTTAAGAATCACGAACACATGACAAGTAAGAAATAACTTGGGCTTTTAGAATTAATTGAGTTTGAGATCAAATTTTGATTTCCACACGTTGAATAGTAGTGTGTAAGGGGTCGTTCATATATTACTTAACCATCGAAGGTGAGGGGGAGTACATAATATGTGGACGACCACCACTTTAATACAGAAATGTAAGCAACATAAATTTTCAGACCATGTTCGTAATGACGAAGACCGAGTTGTGAAAAAGTGCGAGCTAGCAACACGGAAATACCTGTTGAAAGTGAAATCCAAGCTGTGTGACTGAAATGGGTCAATCATGATGGATTTAGTGTTTGGGACAATCTGCTATATGCCTAAAATTGAAAGATTGTTAATTTGGTGATGCTTCACCCTCTGTTCATATTTTCTACTTGATCAATAATGATATTCGCCACATATTATGTAAAACGCCGCTTATGTTTTGCCATTAAAATTTTTTCGTTATAGTAGTGACTGCGACTGAAACCGCGCATCACGCAAGTTTTTGTCGCCGCGCGAGGGTGATTCAATTTTGTCCACTTCGCCATAATTCTCAGAGGATGTAATTTGACGAGTGCGGGACAATTTTGAGCGCAAGGAATCACTTGAATCGAAGATAACGATTGAGCTGACAATTTCTCCGGTAAAAATTAGACCTTAGATAACTGAATTGGGATGACATCGGAAATAACTCTGATGCGAGCAGGAATACACTATGTCATACTCATAGCAGTAATACTTAGACGTGAATATTAATATCCGATGGATCAAATTAGTGTATATGTTATCATTATTATATATATAAAGTGTGCCTCACTGGGGCACCCTTAAGTAACAGTTCCAGCTCGATAGGCCTCGTAACCGGGATGGATAGAGACAAACGAAATACATCATCTCGTCACAAGCAATCAGATCTAAGTTAAACGATAAGGCCAGGACATACTATGAGCATTGAATTAACTGTCAAAATGGTAACCTGAGCCCTAGAGGTGATCACATGCTATAAGCCTAACGGAAAAGTATTCTAAAAATATAAATCTAATCGTTAAGTTAAACACATTTGAAAGCGGCTGTCAGATAATATAAACGGTTCGGGATGATGGCTGTCGAGGTTCGGGCATGACGCGCCCGGCCGCACAATAAGCGGTGACTAGGGAAGTCACAACAAAAAGTCCCCTCTCAGTCTAATCTGAGCTCTCGATATTTTGGAAGAATTCTGGATTCTAGCTAGAAATAGGTAAATTAGTCAACGAACATGAGATGAATCATATATTAACTTAAAGATGAAAACCCGCTAATCAACGTTGACCAAAATTAAATTATGTGGGCTTACAATTGAATCATATAGAGTAACTATTTGATCATTTGACGTAGCCATTTTGTCAACGCAGCATTTTGTCAATTTGTCAACTCTAAATATTCGACTGCTGTTAATCTTTTAACTTTAATTATAAACTTATGTTACCACTGAAAATCTGAAATGGCTCCAGTAGATCTGTAGATGTGGCAGCTAGGTTCTCGTTATATACTGCGATAATCGCAAATTGAGGCGACAATCGCACGATAATCGCATAATGAGGCGATTATCGCACAAGGGGGGGCGATAATCGCAAAATGAGGCGATAACCGCGCGATAATCGCAAAATGAGGCGATAATCGCACAAGGAGTCGATTATCGCGCGATAATCGCGAGGGAGTGCGATTATCGCTGCAAAAATAAAATCTGCGAAATGGCCAACATTTTCCACTGTGGACAGATGAATCAAAATATTAGCTTAGCTTGCGCGAAGAAGTCTGTGATATATGTGAGCGCGCGTTACTAAAAGCTACCAAAACATCGTGACTTAGTGACTGGCCCATTACATGTATAAGATGGGAATAACAACTACCTCCGATTTTTGGAAGATTTCTTGCTGGAGATTAAGTACCACGTTTTCTGAATCACTCAGCTGTTGCCTGAAATAAAATTACAGAGATTCAGAAAGCAAGGAACCATTATTTTCAGATGGAAAGAGGTATAGAAAGCTTTTACTGCTATTTAATCGGCGAAACCCGAAGTAAATCGCCACCCGAAATCTAAAAACTAAAGAAAAAAAAAAGTCATCAACAACAGCTGTTGAGGTCAGTACCTATTTTGCTGGATAACCAGCTCATGCTTTGAGATTTGATCAGCATATTCTGCTATCTTTTCCTCCAGATTTGCGTTCAACGACCTCAAATTCTGACTTTTGATCTGCTCGGCCGTTAGTTTTCGTTCCAATTCCCGCAAATTCTCGAAATTCTCGTTCTCTACTGTCTCCTGTTGCTAGAAAATACTACCATTACTATTGTTTTGATATAATGTGATATCTACTTATTTTTCATTTACGGCAACTAAAAAGTAAAAAGGAAGTTCTTACGAATTCTACACAATACATACATAGTAAAGGTAAATGAATAATTTATTGTATCTTGTGTGTATTGCACCAAGTGTTATCTGTAAGTGACGCGAGTATGCATGTTATCACCACCATTAGTATTTTAACAATACTTATCTTATATGTAAATAGTTAGCAGTTTGCTCGGATCACTGTTCTGGAAAGATCTTATTAAAAAACCTGTAGTTTAGCTTCTACTTCAGCTTTGAGACTTGCTATTGTACTATCTTTTTCATCGAGTGTTTTCCTGAAAAATACACAATTATTCAATAACAATGTGATGACACACTTGAAATAAGCAAATACATATAATGTATAGCTACTGATAGCTTTTATTCAATTCGCTGAAAAGCAAATTTCGCTTATGATTTGATTTGATTTGATTTGAAACTTTTACAAAATAGCAAATATACAAATGTACAGCAAATCGAACAAACATATAAAATGGGCCGAAATGTATAAATGCTATAAAGCGTGGGTCAGTGAAACAAGTACAGAGGACAACTTTTAAAACACGAGGTTTATGGCCGCCCAAAGTCTCAATAACGTCACCTCCACCTAGTAATAAAATTATGAAATATGAAGTGTGAAACAAATTATGAAATATGAAGTGTGAAACAAATTATGAAATATGAAGTGTGAAACAAATTATGAAATATGAAGTGTGAAACAATCAAGAAATAGCTCGTATATAAATTATAAAATTGTCTCTCAAATACAGATAACGTCCGAAAACTATTAAGATACACAATACTCATTCAAATACTGATCAGTGTCCGAGAGACATGAGTTGCTTCATGGTGGTTTCTTATCACGGCTACAGACTTTCCCGTACCGGATATAGTGGTCGAGATGAGTCTGTTCAGCCCTTTTCTTCTTCAGGTCGGTAACCAGATGTTTCCTCGTTGCTCGTTCTTCGCTAGATCTATCTGGACAGATCCATACATTTTTGTGGGTCTCAACTAGCCTCAGTCTTCCTGTTTTCATCAGAATCTGTTGAACCGCTGTTGAGCTTGGGACAGTGATCTTTACTGGTCGGATAGTCGTACTACCTGGCATCTTCCTGCCGACTCTAGTCGCTTCGAAGTGAGGTTTCTCCCCAATCTCCTCCAGAACTGCGGTTACTAGCGCTGGAAGCTGTTCTCCCTCTTCTTCTTTCAACCCAAACACAATCAGGTTCTTGCTCCTGTCCTCCTCTGCAGCCACACTCTTCATCACCTTTTTCAGTATGTTACTGTCGCAGACCGTACCACTTTCACCTTTCTGTTGTACAGCTGCACTGTAGCTCTTAATCCCTGACTCCACCGTTGTTTGCACTGTCTTCTTAACCGATGTCTTAAACAACTCTAGTTCTTTGTCCTTCTGCACAAGCAGCTGGCCCTGCAGCCTGATCAACTTATCCTTGTCTTCTAACGCTTCCGTCTTCAAGAAATATATGATCTCCTCCATTTTAGCCATCTGGCATTCATGCCGTTGAACGAGGTCTATTGCTTCCACAAGCCGAAGTGCCAGATGCTTTTTATAGACAGTTGGAGCCATAAATATTTCTCTGTCCATATCTCCACCAATATCTCTGTCGTCTATTTTCAGTTCTTTTCCCAGCGCAATGAACCACTTAGTACAACTGTCCTTCAATTTTGTCTGTTCATCATACTCGAATCCTTGAATTTGGTCCAGAGATTGGGTCACCTTACGATCATCCTCCATAATGTACTTGTATAGGAATGTACAAGTACACACGCAAAGGCTAACTACGCGGTTGCAGCAAACTGAACTTATCGCAATTTACAAAAGATAACAGAGCTCGATAATTGCAACGTAAGCTACACTGACTACACACACTTATTCGATTCTGTTAAGTGTTAAGGTAACGTTTTACTTCTTCATTCAACAAAACAATTCAATTTTAAATTCACAATAACAAATCTTCAGTAAGGTTCCATTCAAAATATTTATAGATAACAATTTTTTTAAACCTAGAATCCTCAAGAGTTGATTCCAGACTTTGTATCTGAATTGAGAGCTGCTCCTTTTCTTTAATCAGAGACTCCTGAGCAGAGTCAATGTCTTGAAAAGTAGGACAGATGACGGGTGAGTTTAGAGAATCTTCTAGTTTAGAGTTTAGAGACTCTTCAGGGCGTAAACTTGGGGCACTCATCGATCTGGGAAATTCATATGATTATTCGTCTTTTTAACCAAATGAGCGTCGGGAGGATACAACCCTTGATAAGCATAGGAGGGGGGAGGGCTGCAGACTTGGGGCGTCTTAGTTTGCATAATCTTCATGGTTTTCCATGAGAAATGATTTTAACAGAAACTGGGCTGCCTCTATGATTTGGTAGAATATTGAAGGCATTTTGAGATTAGCAGAGGCAAGGTACTTACCACAAGCAATGCGATAGCCTAACTTAAGATATACTGCCCGGAAAGACCTACCATGAATGTAAAAGTTTGATGGGCTGTTGACATTGGATGAGATCACTATTTGAGCAAGACTGAGAATCAAGCTAATTTCAATAACAAAAAATCAGGAACGATAGCTTGCTGCTATGCATGGAGCATCTGCGTGATTATACACTAGTTTTTTAGTATAATATTGCTCTAAGAAACAGTATTTGTGTCACATCAAAAAAAGGATCATGGTGCGAGGAAACTCATCAGTCAACCCTAATTTCAATGCGACAATAATTAACGTTAATTGTAATTGAAAGATTTCAATTTTTTTTAAACGTATTTATTCTGGTTCTCATAATGAACTATTGAAATTTTGTTAATTCATTTTGTTGTTTTGAAAAATGCTATATTTGGCTGTCAAAATTTGAGAGCTGAATATTGCATTTTTCTTTTTAGTTCTGATGATATTTGACACTGAGTGTCAAATATCATCTTAAAACTAAAATCACCACGATAAGAAGTTATAAGTTACTCAAATACACTTCCAAAACTAACTGAAAATTCAACGACAAAAGTTAGAGTGTTTAGGATGTATGTAGTTGAAGTAACCACTTTAACTAAGTTTTTAGTAACGCTCAAGGTCAAATCTCTGATCCTTATAACTATTTACTGCTGTCATACTCTCTAGTTTAATAACTTATGGCATTTTTACTAACTTACGGCATGTTTAATAACTTACGGCATGTTTACGCTATGTTTACTAACTTACGGCATGTTTACGGCAAGTTTAATAACTTACGGCATGTTTACGGTATGTTTACTAACTTACGGGATGTTTACGGCACGTTTAATAACTTACGGCATATTTACGGTATGTTTAATAACTTACGGCATGTTTAATAACTTACGGCATGTCAATTGAAATCTGGTTGATGCTCGTCAGCATGTCATCCTCGATCAGGAATGTGTCTGGGTCGGTGAAGGAGATTCCAGGGTTCTTAAAGTGAAAAGGAGGACTGACTCCCAACACATCTCCAGTACGGGTCACGTAGCAGAACACGTGAGCCTCATCCTGGACAACAATTGGTTATATTTGGTATGTGATTATTGTGAGGTATGTGTGTTATATTTGTTATGGGAGGAACGTTTCATAACGTTTCTAACATTTAAATTAGAAAGAGTAGTTTTCAGAAAGTCATATCTTAATCGGTGGAATGTTCATGATTTGATCTGAAGTTAATAACATTGCTTGACAAGAGAAAAACAGAATGATGCAAACAGCCGTTTGAGCGGAGGGTTAGCCCGGCACGATAACTAAGCCAAAGTATTATTTGTTATAAATATAATTTTTTTCCGGTTGAGAAATAAATGGGAAAAGGGGGCATCATTTTTATCACGATGGTGATTAGCGATGTTTATTTTTATCGTAACTCAAGTTTTAGCTGTTTTTATTAAGCCGATGCCTATTTGACCAATAATTGGGTAATAAATGGGCATTATATTATATAAAGAATAAATGATACATGCAAAATAATCACCTTTGGCTTTGTAGGTAGGGTTCGAGAGTTGAATTTAACGACCATGACATTCTTTGCTTCCACAACCTCAGGAACAGCAACCCACTCGAAAGTAATGTAACTGTGCAAATACTTCCACCCAACTTCAAACAAGCCGATCCAGTCTCGTCTAGTCACATTGGTCGCAAACTCCTCTTCAATCTGAATATTACACTCAATACTTTGGCCTGGCACATAGAATTCTGGAATGTTCAAGAAATTTGTTGGAATGGGCAGGCCTGTCTTCTCCACTGAAATAAAGGTTCGTTACTAAGTGCAGTTTACAAGAGTTGCGAACAATGAAAAATAAACATTGTCATAACTTCCTAAAATATTTGCAAATTGCAATAAAATACTCACGATCTTCAGCGTCAAAATAAGCTGATGTTATTAACTCTATTTCGTTTGTGCTCTGGAATGTCTGTAAAATCTTCTCTGTTTCTTCAATACTTCCCATCTGAATAATAGTTGTTTTGAAAACTTTTTAAAGTTTAATATTAATCGAAAATAATAAGCTGAACAGCTTAGTTTTAATTTTTAATTGAACAATTAGTTTTAGTTCTATAATAACAAAAAATTCCACTAACCTTGTCTACGATAGCTTTGCAAATCACTGCTGCACTACCGTATGGTACATCGGTTTCTGAGCAAAGTTCACGAAGATGCTTCTCCTGCAGCAAATGGAACTTCTTCTCAAGGCATTGGTATTCTTTATCCTCCATAAATTCCTATTAGATATGACAGGGTTTAATTACCGATATATAATTTGAAATGGTATTCCCATGGCAAATCTTAGAAAAATCAACTTGTATATAGACTGTGCAATGTGCATGGCATGTTTACTTAAGTTATTGGCGAATTTCCAATGTATAAACAAAAGCTAATATACATAGATTATAAACAGTACAGAATGCTTGCCAGTATAATGTTATTAGGTGATTAAAAATTTATCAGTTATTTAGAATATATATTCGCATTTATCCACACTATATTTACATTACACGTACAACGTGATATCGTTATCAGTGCAGTGTGTACAACACCAACTACACCGATCAATTGCCAATCTGCGAAACATTTAATTATTATTATCACTTCGAGATGGCCAGGCCTACTCTCATGCTGTCTATATGTGATGATTAATTCTGAAAAACTAGGGACAACTGGGGAATGATCCCAGAACCTCGAGATTTCGCGTCTCTTGCTCTACTCTATGAGTGGTGATTTCGCTCTGAGAATCAGGGTCAGTAGCTCAATTGGTAGAGCAAGAGACGCGAAATCTCGAGGTTCTGGGATCATTCCCCAGTTGTCCCTAGTTTTTCAGAATTAATCATCACATATAGACTGCATGAGAGTAGGCCTGGCCATCTCGAAGTGATGATTAAAAATTATTAAAGGATTCAGAGAAGCACCCAACCTAAACAGTCAGTTAAGAAACAAAATAATCAAAGTTGAACATTTGAACATTTTTGATATACACGAGTAGAAAAATCAAAATGAAAACATTAAAATCAACAACGATTTATATACATCTGAGTTAAATAGTCTTATTATGAATGTGATCATCAAATTTCTTTCACAAGGGAACGTTCAAATAATACCTAAGCTGAACTTACCTTTTCCTCCATTGGTAAACCATTTTTCACGCAACTATTTTGTAGAAATTACTGTGAGCTTATCCAAACCCTTTTCCCCTGGGCTAGCTTACTTAATGTGTGGATGGTACCCACTTAATTGGGAAAAAATAACACATAGCCCATAAATTTTTTTCAAAATATCATAGTCAACAGTTTATTTGTCCTTCTTTAATCCTTCAACTTCCTGCTTGAGTCTTGCTAGCTCCTCTCTGAATGCTGCTATTTCTTCAGCTTCTTTTCTGCGGATGTACTGTTCCTCTAGAGAGTATTCATTTTTCATTTTTCGTCCTACAAATGCACTTTTCTTGTCATCTACAATATGACCATCATTGCTCATCATGCGAGCACATCGGTTTGCAAGAGCAGGTGCTCTTCTCCATATAGAGAGCATCTTGAGTACCTTAATAATATTCTAATAATGATTATGAAATGAAATGAGGTATTTATATCCCGCTCGTGATAATAAACAAACACAAAACAGTACAGGATGTTCCAAAAAATGCAGCCAAGTTATTAGTGTAAATTATAACACAAGAATGGTTTGGAAATTTTTGGAATACAAAAATAGAAAATCGAACTCAAATATGAAAATATGAAAATCAACAACGATGCATGCATTAATGATTTATATACATCTGAATTAAATACTCTTTTTTAGCAAAAGGGATTAAGGGAACGTTCAAAAAATACCTAAGCTGGATTTCAACTTTACTTTCATCAGTAAAGTAAACTAAAAGTAAAATAAAAATTATGACATAACATCATCACTAATGTCTACAACGTGTCATTGCACTACATGGAAAAATATACAGTAACTACAGTAAGCCACTTTACACAGCTGTTTTGAAGAAATAACAGCAGCTTTTCCAAACCCCTTCCCCTGGGCTGGTTTACTAAATATGTAAACGGTCCCTACTCGGGGAAAAATAACCACAGCCCACAGTTTTTTTCTTCAAAATATAGCGAACAGTTTATTTGTCCTTCTTTAATTCTTCAACTTCCTGCTTGAGTCTTGCTAGCTCCTCTCTGAATGCTGCTATTTCTTCAGCTTCTTTTCTGCGGATGTACTGTTCCTCCAGAGAGTATTCATTTTTCATTTTTCGTCCTGCAAATGAACTCTTTTTGTCATCTACTATATGACCATCATCGCTCATCATGCGAGCACATCGGCTTGCAAGAGCGGGTGCTCTCCTCCATATAGAGAGCATCTTGAGTACCTTAATAATATTCTAATAATGATTATGAAATGAAATGAGGTATTTATATCCCGCTCGTGATAATAAACAAACACAAAACAGTACAGGATGTCCCAAAAAATGCAGCCAAGTTATTAGTGTAAATTATAATCCAAGAATGGTTTGGAAATTTTTGGAATACAAAAATAGAAAATCAAACTCAAATATGAAAATATGAAAATCAACAACGATGCATGCATTAATGATTTATATATACATCTGAATTAAATACTCTTTTTTAGCAAAAGGGATTAAGGGAACGTTCAAAAAATATCTAAGCTGGATTTCAACTTTACTTTCATCAGTAAAGTAAACTAAAAGTAAAGTAAAAATTATGACATAACATCATCACTAATGTCTACAACGTGTCATTGCACTACATGGAAAAATATACAGTAACTACAGTAAGCCACTTTACACACAGCTGTTTTGAAGAAATTACAGTCAGCTTTTCCAATCCCCTTCCCCTGGGCTGGTTTACTAAATATGTAAACGGTCCCTACTCGGGGAAAAATAACCACAGCCCACAGTTTTTTTCTTCAAAATATAGCGAACAGTTTATTTGTCCTTCTTTAATTCTTCAACTTCCTGCTTGAGTCTTGCTAGCTCCTCTCTGAATGTTGCTATTTCTTCAGCTTCCTTTCTGCGGATGTACTGTTCCTCCAGAGATTTTTCACGTCCTGCAAATGCACTTTTCTTGTCATCTACTATATGACCATCATTGCTCATCATGCGACCACATCGGTTTGCAAGAGCGGGTGCTCCCCTCCATATAGAGAGCATCTTGAGTACCTTAATAATATTCTAATGATAATTATGATAATAAGCGAACATTTACATAATAGCCTATTATATAATAGCCTATTATATGATAAGAACAAGATTTTACTATTTCAGCAGTAGCCATCCATAGCAATGTTTGTGATAAATGCCAATAATCATGCGATCTTAAGTCAAATGCCTCATTGAACAAGTGAGACTAAGTTCATTTTGAGGGTCACGAAATCCTCCACGTGGTGTGGCCTGATTGGCACTAACGGATGTTGTGCTCTCTTGTTGAGTAGTGAGTACAAAAGTTGGGACTTGCCAACTCAAAGTTCGAGACTCGTTGAGGGTAATTTTTCTTATTTGTTTATCAATTATGAATAACTAATGAACAACTAATAATACCTCGGTAATATAACTAACAAAGTACGATACAGTGTGGTATGGAATTGAGGGTAAAACATAATGAAATCGTCATCCGGCCGTTTATAGCTGTTTTAAAAATAAATAGCCGTTTTTTTTTCTTTCCAGACTGGATTCATAGCCACTTTTTAAATTTATGCCACTGGGGTTAAGACAGCTAATGCACAAGGGCTGACACAAGCTAGACACAGGCTTGTGAATTGTGATAAAACAGGGTCAGGGATTTCAACTCTCTCACTTTAACTACGAGGACACACTGCACTGATAGCAAGAATTCTTGGCACTTGTTCCTCGACAGTAACCACTTTTCAGGTCTTTTCAGCTAGACAGCTAACGCTTAAGGGCTCATCTTGAGGCCATCACATTTAACCTAGGATTAGGGTACCAGGTTAGCTTTGCCACACTCTTCATCGAAGTGTGACTGGACGCTCTACAATCATCTAGTAGCAGCAGAGTTTGACTGACACCTTTACTGGTTCTAATCAGTTTCTACAGCGGACGATCTCAACGCTCGAAAACATTTTATCACAGACATCCTGCAGAAAAGTTTAATCACAGCCTGTCCCATTATACAGGGAACCCTTACATTTACAGTACCCTGGTGGACAGCACAACTCACTAAAGCATAGCAGACCTCTTTAGTTCTGAGATGCAAAGCTAACTGGACCAGGAATAAACAAGTACAACAATGCAATGGGAACTCTTCGGGATGCAAATAGGACATACATTAACCTTTTAGAGAATGCATTACGCAAAATTTGGATTCAACTTTTTAGCTGAACGTTACATGGTAACAATACAGGACACTGGACAGACAATCCTCCTTCAGGTTCATCGAGGAAATGATAACTTAGGATCACCATCAATCATTAATTCCTCTCAGATTTCCAGGTTAACGGGTAATACTCGTAAAATATTTGTTTCAGGACCGTCGACGAGTCCAACTCAGGGCGCGTCCTGGTAGGTTATAAACCTACAAATTCCCAGGCTGCATTTAAAGCGCTTTACAGCACCAGTTTTAACTCCAGGTTCCTTCTGAACATCTCAGACCAACTAAACTCACTAGGTATTCACATCGAGTAGAACTTAAATGTTCCAGGACATGAAGGAGTACAATACAAGGTTATAATATACAGGGTGGGCCAAAAGTCAGTACCCATACGTTGGCCTTTATAGCTCAGTCACTGAGTGCCCAATTTAAATACTTCCTTCTGGTATGACTTAGTACCACCACTGATTCGAGGAATTTGTCAACTCGAAAAATATTCGTGTTCATTTTTTCAAATGGAGGTTCATTTTCACATTTATTTGATAGTTTGGATAGTCGGATCAAGCTTAATGTTATTGAATTGTGTTTGGCCATTCGAATTACGTTTGTCCTGAAAGAATTAGAACTGTAGCTTCTCAGATGACCGAGATATGAAGCATAACGAGTTTATTCATTACGTGTGATCAGGTGATTGGTTTACCTAATCACGTGATAAGGTGACCCCGTTAACTACCCCGTTAAACATTATGGAAATTGTTAAGGGTGCCCAATTAAGGTGTTGTGTCACGGTGTCACATAATTACCCAGTCAATTTTGTTAACGAGATACAGAAAATGCTTCATAACTTCGTCATTTCTAATCCGTTTTGCCTCATGTTTTCAGATCATATGCAACATTTGAT